TGCTCGTTTATCGTAAACAAATTCCGTGGGACTGATTTGAACATTTCCCCTGATGAGTAAAGTAGACAGTATTTACGTTGCCGTTGCTTGGTTCAGGCTCACTCTAATGGATCTTGGCTTCAGAGAACTTTTCCACCGGTTCCAAACAATATTCGACCGGACAAAAATCAGCAAATGCAGTCAAAATAGGGCACAAAATACAGCCAATGAAATATAGCTGTTCCCGCGGTTAACATCCCAAACCCAAGACGATTCAAAGTCGTGTTGGTGAAGATATAAACTGAACATGGACAATTCTCTCAGATTTCGATAAATGCTACCGTCGAAGCGTTTAAATTCACCAAAATCAATTGCAAAATCCAATGCTGAGAGCACAAAATAGCGAAACCTACGGAGCTCACATGGCCTGCTCACATGCTCATATGTCCGTGACACGTCATGTCATGGTACCAGTTTACTGGCTGTGACATTACCCTGCAAAAATCAAACAGGGTGGCCATTTTGGTGTCCTTACAGGAATGTGGATTTTTTTCTGCGTGTAACTGTACACAGGAAAACCAACTCTAGAAAGCCACAGGTAAAAATTAGGCTTGCGTTCTCCGTACGCAATGATCACGCACGAGCTGATCACAAACCGTGTAGGTTAGAGGGTAGTCGGTAGGCTTAAACATTTATTCAACTGCGTGGCTGGAGCGACTCGCATTTCACTAGCTGCATATAATTAGTTTCTTGTGAGGACAGTATATTTTTGGTTATAATTCAGATTTCTTGTTAAGAAAACTGCGACTTAATTGTCAGCAATTAGGATACTGGTGCGTCCTTCCGCCGAAGGAATTGCCAGAAGACTACGGGGAAGTTTTGGAAAATGATATACTCAACCGCTGTTCATCCTCAGCAAAAATGAGAGAAAAGAAAAGGGACAAAAAGTCCTTTACAAAGGATTTGAATCAGGGACCACAAGACGGAAGACGAAAACTGCACTCTAGCGTCCTACCAAATGAGCTATCGTAGCGTGGCATGAATATATGATGCCGTTATTGACTGTTTAACAATTATGCGTAGTTGTTAATCGCTCGGCTATAAAGTATTCAGTCCAAAAAAAAAAAAAATGACACAGAAATAATGTCGGCGAAATTTGAGATCCATAGTTGTAATATCCGAGCTTCACGAATGATTTGTTTTTATTATACACCTTTTTTTTTCTATAAGAATATAATTAATAAGAATATCGGAGCTGAACTTTGCGAAATTTTAAGAATATTTTAAGAATAAACCTGAGGCTGAGATTTTGAAAAGAATATAATTTTGTGAGTTGAAAGTTTAACTAAACCGTACAAAATTTTTCCTTTCCCTAAACGGCATAACGAGTCAAAAAACAATGAAAAAACAGCACTGGCCGTGTGTTCGATGCTAAAAACATTTCTGCAAGAAGTTATGTTCGTCATATCAGTCTTTAATGCCTGCAGACCCGCTCCAAAATTACTGTGGCACCATCCAGACACCAAATACATTCGAAAAGCAGGAATGGCATACGTTGCTATCTAAAAATATTCACAAGGATATTTTTAGCCTAAAATCGACCGAAAAATAAGTGTATTCAGCCTTTTATACAACATCCTTGTGTATAAAAAAAAGTGTGTAGAAACGCTATTACAGGGAGTGTATCGACAAGTTGCACACAATTGTTTATTTATTGGTAAATATTCAGCCAAACCAAACCAAACATTTGCCGTTTTAATACAGTCATACAGCAGGACTTTCCACTAAATATCAGAAACAACGGTCCTGTAGTCGAGCTTTACGAATTATTTAATTATTTAATTTTAATTTTAATGCGAAAGAAGAAAAAAAGAAAGAAGATCACAAAATACAATAATAATGAGAATAAAATTGTATAAAAAAAAGCCACAACGATGGCCTGGCATGTAGTTTAAACACAAGCCTGGTAACGCGTAGAAACTACTAAGCTCGTTAGAACACGCAATTGCGTAAACTGATTAAGCAAGGTAAAGAGAAGCAATTCAATAAAAAACATAATAGAGGTAACTTGCATGTATAAGAGCTATGAAAGAATATTTTTTGTTAGGAAAATACATGGGGTAAAGTGAATTTTGATATTAGTTTTCTTTTCCGTATTTTCCTCTGTAGTTGATGAGCGTGTCATCCGGAATGAAACAATGAAGTTTGAAGCTGAGCATGAGGAATGCGTCCGCGTGTTGCCATATTTGAATAATGGTGAGGTTGAGATACATCTGTACGTTTATGGAGACAAAAGGGGGATACCACCTAAACTAGAAAAAGCTGCGCAAGCTTTCTTTGGACAGAAGGGCTGGAAATTAATATGGGCAGATCTGTACAATGACGCATTTAATTTACTGCAAATTACATCCATCGAGTATTCGTCTAGAGAACCAAAAAGGTTAGAGGCATCTCAGGTTGATGAAATCGAAGAAATTATCCACAATCATCTTCACGTCTTCTCTAAGCATCGAAACGTTACTGCTGTACAGCCGTCTTTCAAAGTCACAAAATCAGTGCAGACGGAAGAGGCATGTATTGTGGTTTACGTTCTTGGGAAAGGACAAATCCCAATGGGCGAAAAGGCAATTCTACACGCTATTGGCCCTTACCGAGTGGACATCGTCAACGGCTTTTGTGTTAGAACAAAAGATCCGTACATGCCCAAAGAGGCGCATAAGCAGAAGGATTTTCTACGTTTGGGAGCAAGCATTGGGGTCAATGGCAAACAATCATCTGGTACCTTGGGTGCTATTGTGGAAGACGAAAATAGTGGTACCTTGTACGTACTGTCCTGTGATCATGTGGTGAACGATGCTGATGAGTCGGGGATAATTCATCCTGGATTGGATGTCTACCTCGATTGCTTACGTTTCAATTTGAAAGGATACAAAGATTGGATAAACAGAATCACTGACGTTGATCTCCAGCTACCTCCAATTTCAGATGACAGCTGCGAGGAAACTGAATTACAGAAGATATTCAACGACCTAAAAACCAAAAAAGAGATGCACGTTGACCCCAAAGGATGCTCCAACAGTGCCATGGAGCAAATTGCGATATTCGAAAGAAACCTCGAGGAAGCTTTAGGTAAAAGACCAAGAGTCATAGCAAGCTACAGTGCTGGTGTCAGATGCAATGTGCGCTCAGAAATGAACAGCAGAGAACATTTTATTGATGCTGCCATTTCTGAATTGAACGACGACGAAGTAAAGAATTTAAAAGCTGAAAAGTTCTTGCAAATAATTGATACAACACATTACCCAAGCGGCATGTGTATCCCAGCAACAACAAATGCAACAATGGATGTTGAAGAGCTATTTAAGAGTGGTAGTGCTACAGGTTTCACCGAATCAAACCGTATTCTTGGTATTTCCCAAAGACTTCCAACATTTATCAAAGATTTTCGGCCAAATGGTGACTGTGCATGGATTGATGTGGATTGTATCAATTGCAAGAAAAGGAGAGCAGCTCAATCCCAAGTTCAAGAGCTGCCTGATCCATGTGAACAGTGCCAGGAAGATAGATGGCTTAAGAGCTGCTTGTGCAT